CACTGGCTATAAGGGGAATCCAGCTACCATGTTTTGAGGATACTCAGGTGGCCTACAGAAAGGCCCATGTGACTGGTAACTGATGTCTCCAGCCAATAGCCAGGGAAGCATGGCAACAGCGATACGAGTGAGCTGGGGAGAAAATCCACCCGCAGGTGAGCCCTGTGGCCGTAGCCTGGGCTGACACCTTGACTTAGCCACCAAAAACCCTAGGAACCAGCAGTTGGTGTAACGGCTATATCACTGGACTCCCATGTAGTTGATCACAGTTCGAGTCCCAGGCCCGGTGGCTTAAACTCACACCGGGCACGTGTGCGTGCGTGCCCAAGATTCTGAGAGGAGAATGGAGGAGAAGGAATTACAGCATGGCCATCCCCTGGGGGATGATTTCTTGCTTTCTGTCTCTCTGTCTCTCTCTGTCTTTCTGGCGAGCATACATACCCTATAGCAAAAACCTGTCCAAAAAAAAAAAAAGAAAGAAGCCCTGAACAGGAAGCACCCAACTAAGGTGATCCCAGACCCTGACCTACAGAAGCTATGAATAATAAAGCTTATTTTTTTAAACAATAAGCTTGGGATTATGTGATTGGGAATAATGTGTTATACAGCAGAGATAACCAATACACACAATACACATCATCGGTCAGACTTCGCGACAGTACGTACCTCCATGGGATAAATAAAAGTCTGTGCAGTTGCTCCAGCCATGGAACCCGAAATAAATCTCTCAAAGGTTCCTACTTTTTGTCCTTCCTCAGTAAGCAACTTCTTGTACTGTATGAAAACGTTTTAATTGTACATTAATAACCACTGTGGACTGAAATGTGTCCCTCCAAAACTTCTAAGTTGAATCTTAACCACCATGTGACAATATTAAGATGTGGGGCCTTTGGAAGTAATTAGGGTTAGATGAGATCAAAAGGGCAAACCCTCATGATAGGATCAGTGTCCTTTTAAGAAGAGACACCAGGAAACTCTCTCGCACGCTCACTCACTTTGCAAACACAATGAAAAAAAGGCATCTAAGCACTAGAGAAGGCGGCCATCAGCAAGTCAAGCAGAGATCCCTTACCAGGAAACATATTGCCTGGCCCCATAATCTTAGATTCACCAGTCTCCAGAACTGTGAGAAAAAATTTCTGTGGTTTAAGTCACACAATCTATAGTATTGTGTTATGCTTACATTAGAGAAGCTAAATCCTAAGACTTACTACTGTATTTCCTCCTAACATTGAGTTAGGCTGAAGAAATATCCTAATCAATTGAAGCCAATAAGTCAAAGCAGAAGTTGATTCAGAGGTAAATTCATTCATTCGTTCATTATTTCACTCATTCAATAAATACTTACTCAGTACTTATTACATGCCAATGCCAGGCTCCCTCTAGATGCTGGAATGCACAGAGAAGCCAAGAGCCCAGTTTTGTACCGTTTTCATTCTAAATTCAACTTAATTTCATGGCAATGTCAAATCACACAAATGACCTTAAAATTTTCCATCCATAGGTTAGCTTGGATACTTTCAAAAAACTTATGTTACTTTGCTGCTTCTAGTCAGTAGTCAAAATTAATAAGCTAGAATTCTACCTTACCTTTAAGAGCTCCTTAAAACCAAAAAAGTCTTTCTTTACTGCTAACCTCATAAAATTCAGAATCCCAGAATTTAGTCATGAGGAATCTCTGAGTTTATCTAGTCTAGTCTCCTGTAAGAGAAATTCCTCCTGGAGCGTATGTAAAAAATTACCATGTATTAAAACAAGAATCCCAAAAGCACTGTATGCTAATTTTTATTGACTCCATTTACTAACTCCTCTTTGTTAATAAATTCCACAGGTGATAACAATTACCTGTTCATAGGCCCAGAACTTAACAGCCGTCTCAGGAGCAATCTTAACGACGTTTGCACCATTTCCTCTCCAAAGAGAGCGGATGCCGCCTTCTTTTACCATCTGCCGAAAGCCACCAAATATGTTCATTTTCTCTGATTTTGAACCATGAACCTAAAAGTAAAAGCAAAATGATAGAAAATACTAGTGACATATTATTATAACTATTTCCATAGTAACTGTAAATATCTTCTTTATTTTTAAAGAAATATTTATTTAATTTTATTTATATTGTTATTATATTTCAATTTGATATAGGGCATGTGTGCTCACCAGAGAGAGATGGGGAATGGGGGGGGCGAAGTTAGGGGTGAGAGAGAAAGTGAGACAGCAAGCCCCCAGGTCTGGGCCTTGAACCAGTCAGCCCTGTGGGAGTTCAGCACCTTAACTACCATGCCACTTGCTGGCCCCACAATACAGTTATTTTTAAGTTTATTTATTTATTTCTCCCATGAGCAAGACGTACGCAGGGAGATATAGACAGAAAGCACCTTCAACAAGGTCTCAATGCCATAATCCACCCCTAGTCTTGTCCAGCCCCCCTGGATCATGGGCACATGTGTGCACTGTACTCAGGGAGGTCTCTTGACTTAACCAAGAACTTTCCCATATGGGTCAGCCTTGCAGAGCATCATGTTTTACTGCTGCTCTACATATGACCTCTCAATACTGTTTATAACAGCAAGAAGATGTATTTCAAAATAAAAAATATAAGGTCGGGAACCAGCAGTTAGCGTAATGGCTATGTCGCTGGACTCCCACGTAGTCGACCGCGGTTCGCGTCCCGGACCCAGTGGCTTAAAACTCA